ACAAGTACTGTGGGGAGAGTGATGAACCCACAGATGATGGGGGACCAAAAGAAAACCTGGATTTTTGAATGACTCTCCTGGTGTAGCATCAGGAAGGGAGCCCATAGTATCATGCAAAGTAGAGGTTAAGATAGGAACTGAAAAAGTGTACAATTGCAAACAAGATATGTCAATCACTTCTATTGCTAGTTTTGCTTACCTTGTCAATCACAAAAACACTACTGTCTGAACCATCCTCAATTTGGGCACTGAAATGAACATCATTGATCTGGCAATAGTCCAAAAGTACAACATCCCTATGTGAAAAATAGCAAGACCATGGGAGTCAAGAAGTTACAAGGGCAGGACCAGAGATTGGGTAACCCATATTGCTTCCTTCAGAGCCAAGATCTGGGGAAAGACCATGTGCATCCATGCATATGTCCTCAAGCTTGGAAATTGGGAGTCCCTTCTCTTGGGAATGCCATGGCTCAAAGAACACAACCCCATAATCAGCTGGACCTCTTGAAAGCTAATAGGATGGGGAGAACTCAACCATGGTCTCAACAAGAAAAATCACATATGCAGAACTGACTTCACCCAGACTGTAAAAATCAACCACACCTCGATCTCTATGAAACTCAAAGCCTCACACATACAGGCAAAAGTTGAGTTACCTCCAGAATATCAGGAGTTCTCTGTAGTCTTCTCCAAAGAAGAAATCCCTCTTCTGCCTCATCAAGGTTTCCTTGACCACAAAATATGCCTAAAACTGAGCTTCCAGCCAAAGAAAGGAGCCGTTTATCCCCTCTCACTTGATGAACTCAAGGCCCTTGGATGAGTTCATTGAAGAGAACCTTAAGTGTGGAAAGATTTGCCCCTCAAACTCTTCCCAGGCAGCTCCCATGTTTTTCATAGGAAAGAAAGACAGAAAAAGAAGACTCATCCAAGACTACTGCTACCTAAACTCTGACACCATCATTGACTCCTACCTGCTACTCAATGTCAAAACTCTCCTTGACAAACTTGCTGGCTTGAAATACTTTGCCACGTTCAATGTTTGCTGGGGTTTCACTAATATCTGGGTAAGGGAAGGCAACAAGTGGAAGGGAGCTTTCATCACTCCTAGAGGTCTCTTCAAGCCTATGGTAATGTTCTTTGGACAGTGCAACTCACTGCCTACATTCCAAATATATATGGACCACACTTTTGGAGAACTCAAAAATGAGCAGAAAGCCATGATCTTCATGGATGATGTTACTATCCATTCTAAGACAAGGGAAGGCCTCCAAGCAGCCATCCACCAGTTCCTTCATGTAGCTGCTAGGGAACACTTGCGCTTGAAGCTCAAGAAGTGCACTTTTGAAGCCAAAGAAATAGAGTTCCTAGGTTTTGTGATCCATCAGGGTCAGTATGAACTGTCAGAAATTAAGATCAAAGCCATCAAAACCTGGCCTGTGCCAACAACTCTCAAGGAACTCTGCTCCTTCCTAGGCTTCTGCAACTTCTACCAGCAGTTCATCTCTGGCTTCTCACAGATGGCCCACCTGCTCCATGACCTCTTGAAGAAAAATGCAAAATGGACCTGGGGCCCCAAGCAAAGCTCCACCTTCGAAGCTTTGAAGAAGGCCCTGTCATCTAGGCCAGTTCTTCGCCTACCAGACCTCCAGAAACCATTCATGCTCCATACCAATGCCTCAAAACTCAGTACCAGAGTGGTTCTGTCCCAAGCCAACAACTTGGGAATGCTTCACCCTTGTGCATACATGTTGTAGTCACTTACTGGTGCAGAGCAGAACTACCAGGTCTACAACCTGGAAATGCTAGTGGTAATGCATGCCCTCAAGCAGTGGCACCCTTACCTGCTTTCATCCCCAGAGCCAACTTGCATCTATACAGATCATCAAAATATCACCTACTACATGCAGCTGCAGAAGCTAACCTCCTGCCAAGAATGTTGGCAGGCCACACTCCAGGAGTACCCACTCCAGTTCATCCACATTGCTGGAACCAAAAACTCTGCCATTGATACCTTTTCCCACCACTCAGACTTCAATGCTGGGCCCTTAACTGTCTCCACCCTACTTCCAAAGGCCATTTGGCTTGAAGGGGGGGTGAGACCCCCTGTCATTTCGATTTTTCAGCTTGACAAGCCTTTGACCCCTGTCCAGAAGGTCTCCTTCAAGGAGCCAGAAACCCCTGGACTGTCAAAGGGAGGTAAAGGACACATCTTCCAGCTGAGTAGCAACCTGTACCAAGAGGTACAGAAAGCCTCTGCATCCCTCTTGACCCCCAAAACAACAGAAGGGTCTGATGGTGTCAGAAGGAAAGGAAGAAGGATCTTCATCCAAGAACCAGTCTGCCAAGATGTCCTTTGGCAGTACCATGATACACCAGCTTTCAGGCACCCTGGAGTGAAAGCAATGACAAAGAAAATGAACAAGTATGTCTGGTGGCCTGGAATGTACCAGTCGATCCACAACTACTGCAAAGGATGCCCCAAGTGTCAGGATAACAAGGTTAACATGCATCCTACAACTCCACTGGTTACCCTGCACAACATAGCAAAGAACCCTTTCCCTTTCAAGCAGATCTCTATGGACCTTGTAACCAATCTGCCCCTGTCTGGAGGAAAATACAATTCCATCCTCACAATCATTGACCAAGGACTCACTAAGGGAGCATTCTTCCTACTGACTACTAAAACTGTGGATAGTGTTGGTGTGGCAGATCTCTGTCATGCCTACATTTACCCACACTGGGGTGTCCTGGAAGCCATCATTTTGGACCAAGGCCCACAGTTTGTCTCTGCCTTCACAAGAAACCTGTACCACTCCCTTGGAATCAAGCTGAAGGCCTCCACTGCTTATCACCCACAAACCAACAGTGAAGCAAAACATGTAAACCAAGAGGTTGGCACTTATCTTCACATGTACATAGACATGGACCCCCACAACTGGCACACCAAACTCCCAGTGTGAGTCAAAGTGTGGTTCAGTGGTGAAAACCAACCAAAACCAACACAAAAGACAAAAAGAGCAAGTGGTGGTGTGCCTATGCAGTACCTAGATGGTAGAACCTGTTCTTTGGGAGGGTTTTCGTGAGCTATAACACTCAAAGACAAGTGCTGAGGGTTGGGGGTGCTCCTGATGAAGAAGGAGAAGGAATGTGAGAGAATGTGATAGGGTAGACTGCTGTCAGCCTACAGAAGGATGGATGATGACTTAATTTGATGCTCTGAGCTGCACTGAGCTCAGGGAGGACTTGGAGCAAAGTAGATTGATGATAGATGATAATAAGCAAAGTAGACAATAGTTAGACCCTTAATAAAGTCTCAACTATTGAAGCTGATGGAGGATTTACTGAGTGATGATAAAAAATGTGAGCAAGAGGGGCTCTCTGATGTCTTCTTCTCTTTTTGCTATCTAAGTACAGTGATTTATATACAGTACAGGGGTGTTGCCTATGGAAAACAAGGTGAAAACACTTGGTAAGTGATTGGTAACTGATGAGTAAGGAATGTAAGCAATGGGTAATCATCTTGGAAAGCATTGGTAAGCATTGGTAAGGATAAGCAAGCCAAAAGGCAAAGAATCAGTAAGCAAAGTCAAAAGATTGGTAAGTATTGGCAATAGGTGAGTCAAAGACGGTCAGAATGTCAAAGTATGAGTCAAGCAATGTCAGGAGCTGGGAAAGTGCACTGGAATCACATTAGGGGGAGGCTGTGCATGTCACATCTCAAAGAGATTGCTTCTAGGCCAAGGTGGGATGACAGAGAGGCAGCACTGATCTGGTGCCAACATAGTACATCCAAAAGTGGACAGGGTGAGTCAGATGTCAACAGGGGTCAAGCTTTGGGGGTCTGTGGGGTGACAGGAGCATAGGGGATCACAACTTTCCACCCCAAACCATCCTCTCAGTGAAGCAAATAAAAACTTCATGGATGAGGCTCTGTTGGAAGAGAGGATGAAGGGGGAGTGTCTTCTGCTGTATCTTGCAACAAGGAGGCAAGATGTGCATCATACTCATCATGGATGCAATCAGGGAGAGTGGAGAACAGTAGATTATACTGTAGCTGTCATAATCTTGGAAGAATGATGGATGAGACTGGTATGAAGACACTGCAGGGAGCAGGGAGGAAGGATCCATATGCTTCTTGGACTGGAGACTGAAATGACCACATAAGACCTTTCCAAGCAAATGACAGACCTGAGGTGACCAAAGAATGTCCTCCTAGAGGTCATACTGACAAAAAGAACATGCTGTCCAAGCTGGATGGGGAGCCCATGCACCTGGTTAGGCCATATGAGACAGTCAGCAGAGGCTGACAATCAGCTATCAGTGACAGGCCAGTGAAGGTTGAGCCCATGTATGGCTTGTGCACATGTGTTACATGAGAGCCATGAACCTATTGTCACCTTGTAGTATGGGAGAGCCCAACTGATGAGTGTCACCATGTAGTACAGCTGAGCCTGAGAGGAAATGTGTCATCATGGACTATAGGAGAGCCCAATAAATGCATGTCACCATAGCATACAGCTGAGCCCAAGAGTAGGAGTCATTATGGAGAATGGCTGGGCAGAGGTTAGAATTGTCATCATGGGGTACAAGCCAGCTGTGGGATTAGGGTGTAGCCACTGCAATATGAGTAGTCCCAGGTAAGCCCAGAGTTGGGTGTCCCCAGAAGGTATGGATGGGCTCAGCCCCTGAGTTCACCCCTGGCAACACTGTCATGCAAGCCAGCCCAACACCAATGCCATGCTAGCCATCCTGGCAACACTGCCATGTGGGCCAGCCCACCACCAATGCCATGCAGGCCATCCTGGGACAAATGCCATGTGAGCTGGGCCAACACCAATGCAATATGAACAGGCCCATTACCAATGCCATGCAGGCCAGCACAACACCAATGCCATGCTGGCTGTCCTGGCATTGATTCCACATGGGCAGACCCAATACCAATGCCATTCAAGGTGTCCCAGCACCAATGCAATGTGAGCCAGGCCAACACCAACCCAGGACTAATGCCATGGAAGCTGTCCCAGCTGGCACTGATTTAATGTGAACTGGCACAATGCTAATGCCATGGAAGCCATGCTGGCACCAATGCCATGTGTTCTGGCACATTGCCACTGCCATGGGGCCATCATGGAAGATGGCCTGGCACCAGGTCCATGTGTTCCAGCACATCCCCAATGCCATGGGGCCATCATGCAGGCCATCCTGGCACCATTGGAATGTGTTCCAGCACACCACCAATGCCATGGAAGCCATCCTGGAACCCATGCCATGTATTCTGGCACATCCCCAATACCATGAGGCCTATCATGAAGGCCATTCTGGCACCATTGTAATGTGTACCAGCACCGGACCAATGCCATGGAGGCTGGCCTGGCACCAGTTCCATGTATTCTGGCATATCCCCAATGCCACAGGTCCATCATGCAGGCCATCCTGGCACCTGTGTAATGAGTGCCAGCACATCCCCAATGCCATGGGGCCATCATGAAAGCCATTCTGGCACCATTGTAATGTGTTCCAGCACAACACCAATGCCATGAGTCCATCATGCAAGCCATCTGGGCACCATTGTAATGTGTTCCAGCACAACACCAATGCTGTGGAAGCAGTCCCAGCACCTATGCCATATGTTCCAGCACATCCCCAATGCCATGAGGCCATCATGCAGGCTGTCACAGCACCATTGTAATGAGTTCCAGCACATCCCCAATGCCATGAGGCCAACAGTCAAGCTGTCCCAGCACCAATGCCATGGAGGCCTGCCCAGAAATTATACCATGCCATGCCTGACCTGCCTGACCTCCTGGAAGCAGGTCTACAGTGTATGTATGTACTGGTACCAGTACCATGCTGGAGATGCATGTATTACCACAATTGTGGCTCTGGTAATGACCAGAAGACTAGCCAACTACCCAGTACATGTAAACTGTGAATTCAATGCCTTATGGCCTCCAGCAAGCCAGAACAATACCATGAAAGTCACCATCATGCTATACAGAAAAAACAATTGAGTTATGCCAGCCAGTCATCATTTGTTCATCTAGGTGAACCATGACTCCATTGGCCCTTAGTGCTTGTAACACCACAGCCTTGGTACAGACATCACCATACCAGATTGGTTTTCCAGTATCTGAATCATACAGGAACAACTACCAGTAGCAGTAGCTACTTCTTCCTGGAGATCACATTTTGACAATACAGAATATATTGCTGCATCTAACAAAGTACAAGTACAAAGACAAAAAAACACAAATGGATTGTGAAATGACAAGTACATTGATGTTAGTTGACCTCCATCCTACCTTCCTGTCTGGGCACTGATCCAACTGGTGGTGGTGGTGGAGTGATAGAGATTGCCAGACCTCCAGCAGGTCCATGCACAGCTTTGACATTTGAAGGAGGCATTTCCAAGCCAGCACCTCCCTCAAATGAAGCTGGGGGGGGGTTCAGTGGACTCCTGTCTTGAGCTGCTTCAGGATGATTGAACCTCAACAACACCAGTTGCAGTGCCAAGTTCCACCATGACCAGCATGTGAGGTACTGGTGTAGGGTTGGAAGTAGTGTGAAATGGGACCAGAGGATGGTTAAGCATGTCTGGGGCTGGGAATAGGTGATGACAGATAGCATCTACCACCCAATGGAGAGCAGCAAGCTCAGTATGGGTTACATCTATCTCCTGCCTCATGTCAGCATTCTCCTGCTTAAGGATGGTAACCTCTTCCCAATACTCATCACAATGGCATGGATCATTGGCACCAGTTGTAGTAGTTGGTGCTGGAGTGATGGGTGGGTCTGTTGCAATGCTTCTTGCATGAGACCGTGACCAGGATAGCCATGACAGAGTAATAATTTCCACTACTCAATAGAAATATTAGTTCAACCAATTAGTGAAAAACATAGGACTGTGAATAACTTACTGGGGTGGCCAGTCCATGGGCCAGGAGATGAATGATGGCTTGTTACTTTGGATGGACCAGCATATTGATTTCAGCTTGGTGCCCTTTGATGTTTGGCTTGTTGACTGGTTGATGGAGCTGGCACAGCCAGTGTTGAAGTGGTGGGAAGGCTGGCCATGTCTTCTGGGGATCATTCCTGGTGAGGCCTTGAATGGGAGCCTTTTTGCTGCACCTCAGACTTGTCTCCCCTCCACTTGAACAAGCTGCATGAGTATTTGGTACAGTAGCATTGCCAGCATGCCCTGCCAGCTAGCACTGTACAGGGCCAACTCCTGTCCTGGCATCTCACACACCACTCAGCTTCCAGCACTACTTCCCAGGACTCAGGAGGGTTGTTAATGTCTCACTGGTCCTGCACATCCTCATTGACTGCTGGTTTTGCCTTCTTCATTGGTCTCCTTGACCAGCACTGGCCTCTACTGGTCTGATCACTGGCATTGACAGGCTTGGATGCTGGCTGGCCACATCTTGACTGGCTATGGCCCCATGCCTTCTCCCTGTTCTGATCCTCCTCATTTCCCAGCTTCTGCATCACAACTCCAGTGGTCCTAGCCATAGTTTCTGTGGGTGCATCTTTGGATCCCATATCAGTGGTCTACCCAATTGCCTTCCTCAGAATTAGTGCTCACCCAGAAGCTGAATCCTTTGAGCCTCATCTGTACCCAACTCTTCCCCTTCCCCTTATCCACTGGCTGTGCCTGGTGCTTGGCACTTGACAAAGGCCTGGTAAGCTCCTCCATGACCTTGTAATATGGGTGAGACTTAGGCTGGTGACAAAGGCAATACCACACATGATCCTTCACATTGGCCTCTCATGCTGTCATCATCTGGTTGAAAGGTGGCCACATCTGCATGGCAATGATTGTTGCCAGGTCAACCATGTGCATATCAATAGCAATAAGATGTGGAGGGATCTTGAGTGCTGGGGGTAGATGTTCAACAACCATTCAGACCATTCCCTACATAGATGTCAGGAATGGATATCATGGCTGCAATTTCACTTACCAGCTGGGCCCACACAAGCTGAGCCACTTTGCCCCAGTGCTTAGCATCCTGGCCCTGAAGTCCTCTCAGTGCCTGCATTGTAACCCTGGCAGCCTCCTTGACCATCCACTTGGCATTTTCAGCAGTGATGACTGGCTGGATGTTGTTGGTTGATTGTGCTGGGATGAGGATGCTGGTGTTGGCAGTAGACATAGTACTGTTAAAGCTTTGGAGTGCAGGTGGTGGGTGCTTGAGTGGTGTGGTGAATTCACTGGCTAGCATACACCATTCAACAGGCTTACATAAGCACAATACAAATGCTCACTCCAGTGATGCTGTGATTGACAATAGTCAATGTACTGGTTTAACCATTGAACATATTTTGGTGGGAGTAATGTATGGCAGTTGACAGTCATTCCACTAAGTGCCCATTTCCATTATGTATGCACTTGCACATCCTGCATGATGACTGGTGAAAAAATATTGTGTAATACAATCTTATCACTGGTACCAAAATCATTCTCAAACATTGGTGTAATCCCCACAGTGCCTACAATGTTTTGAACTTTCATATGGCTCCCAGAAATGTTAGATTCAGTTCCAGCAGTCCAGATAAACTCCATAAGTCAACTGGTCCAAGGACCATTACTTCTAATGACTGTATGCAGTAATTCCATCATGCTATGATATGCAGTGGCTTGCATCTCTCAATGAGGATGAGGAAATGTTTACTGAAGATGACCTGCCAGATGCTCCATCATCCCCATTATGTGAGCCACCTTTTGAGCTGTCCCCAGCTCAAACAATACACACAACTGGGATGGAACCCTCCTTCCAGTCCTCTGGTTCACCCAGATCACCTTTGATAGAGCCAGCATGGGAGTCATTGGCACTGTCTCCCTCCTCTAGCAGCCCATTGGTTGAGCCTCCTTGGGACTCCATATCAACACACCTCTCTGACAGCACCCTGTTACTTGAGCCAGCATGGGACAAATCGCCACTGCCTGTTGCCCCAGGTATGCCATTGCATGAGCTGCCTTGGGGGTTGCCCCCACCATTCCAGTCCCCACCAGTCAGTCCTTTACAAGAACTGGCATTTCAGTCACCTGCTGCCACAAGATCATCAGCTTACATCTACCCAACTCATGCAGCTGGCCAATCGTCATGATCATTCATCCTATTGCCTGAGCCCCAATTTCAGTCCTTAACTCCCTCTGTGTCACCAGCCTGTTGAAATCCTATCCCAGTTCCCAGCCCAACAACATTTGCATCACCTGGTGGCAATTTCCCTGGTCCTTGTCAACCTATGGACCTTTCAGATGCTCCTGCATCATTCAGCTCCACATCAATACCACTGGCTAGATCCCCATCACTGGTGCCAATCCCATTGTTGCATTCAGAGCTTTTAGCAGTCTCCCAGGAGTTTGCCATACAGCCAGGAGTTGATACTCCACAAACTGAGTGTAAGTCCAGAAGTTCCTATGCAACCATAGCTAAACATGTCTACCAGTTCAAATGTCAAGGCAGATCTCCAGTGTCATGGCTAGGAGTGGGGTGCATCAGCCAGACATCAATGCCACACACAATGCCAATCTGATCACTACATATAGGTATTATGCCAATACCCTGGTGGATACAACCAGGGAGTGGCGATCACATGTTGAGTGGCATGCCATGCTTACCAGATTCTGGCAACAGTTAGCAGATCTTCTGGAGGAAGAGCTGGCAGGTGTAGGCTACCATCTTAAACCAGACCAGCTTTAATTTGTATACTTAACTCATTTCAATGAACATTATGTTGAATGGAATTGGAGAAGTGCACAAATTGGCTGCAATTGGATTATGACAGTGGGTTACAGTACATGGTAGCTATGGGGCCAGTGATTCACTGGCAATTCTTGCACTGTGCACTATATATGGTTGTTGCCAGTCTACTGGAAAACAGTAGGTACTGGCCTCAATTCTACCTTCACCTCCTCATGGTTGGAGTAGGATAATTATCATCTGGCCACTGTGGGGGCCTATGATTCTGCTCTGGGTGATGAGCCACACCATCCTCTTCTGCTTGATCCAACAGTCCATCTTCCCTGTCCATTGCATGGCATCTAGGCCTGGCATTTGAATTCCTACCCACTGGATCAACTCCTGACATAGATAAGTGTGTGTAATTGTGTTATGGATGTATACCTACAATCATTAGGTGATATGACCATCTTATCATTCTGGGCTGCTGTAGAATGCTGTAATGAGAGGATTAACCAAGTGTGCATGGAAACCAACCATTGGATCTGATTCTTGGCTTGGGCTTGGGCTTCCTTGCAGTTGAATCACCACCATCATTGGTATGATTGTCTGATACAATTCTATCAGCAATATTCATTGTTGCTGGATACCACTTACCAGCTGGCTTGGGGTATGCAGTAGCTGTATTGCACCAGCCTGATGTGGACTGGTGCCATTATCTGTTGTCCTCCTGTGCATTGGATGTTCCAGTGGGATGATCTTCAGCACACAATTCCAAGGTCATGTTAGGGTTACCAGTAAAGAATCTGACCAGCTCTGACATACCATCTATCTGTTGCCATTTGGTGGAAGGTTTTGTGGGAGGAGCTGGTTCCTCCTCTGAGTGATGTCTGTAGTCAGAGCCATCAATGGAATTTACTTAATGTGCAATCAGTTATGTATATCCAAATTGATCATGACCTCACCTTCCATGGTCTCTTCCCTTTGGCTTTGTCTGACTGGTGTTGGTGTTTGGCAACTGGCTCCTCCAGGGAACCATCCTGAGATCTCCTCCTTCAGAACTGGAAGACATCTTCTGGGTGCTCCTGCTGTCACTCCTTCCAGAACTCCAAGGTTTTGATTAGTTCATGATGTGTCAACCTGGTGGGCTCTTTGAATGGGATATTGGGAGGAAGATACTTGGAAGACACATAGGATGCCCAGTTGTCAGCTATTGCAGCCCAAGGTACACTGGCATTCATCTTCCCACAAGTCAAGCCTGTGTTTAGATGTTAGTAACTCATCAACCATGGAAATTGGCATGTATGATAATGGCCAGTTATAAACACCCTCATGATGTCCTTTAATTCCAGTGTCCATAAGTCCAAGAGATTTGGAAGAATGGGCATGCCATTGTCATTGGTGGACAGGGACAATTGAGACTGTTTTTTTCCTTTCCATGCTTTTACTGTGGTTTGACCAGCCTCATCCTCTCCACTGCCATCCTCTGTACCATTGGCCCCAAAGGCCTTCTTTGCATAGGCTGACCACTTTCCATGAAGGTCTTTCCAATCTGAATAGAGCTCTCCATCACCCAGCTTGTCATTGAAGTCATTCCTACACCAGTCAGATATGGTGAAGCCTGTCAGGAAAGCACTCACACTCCACCCATCACTTCACCTTCCTTATCCTTCCATACCAACATGATCACCACTCTCATCCCACACTGCTTCCACATGTCAAACACAAACTGTTTTGCATACTTCCAGCCCTTACTTGTTGCCACCCTGCATTTAAGTTAGTATTGCCCATGGGAGAACTTGGATGCTTACTCTGCCTGGGCTTTGGGTGGTGGCTTTCTCTTGTTCCACTCTTTCACCAAATGGGCTGCCTGGTCCAATTCAGCCTTGGTCAATGACTGGACTACCTTCTGAACAGCTGGCTGATAGTGTTTGATCATAGCCAATGTCCTTGGATGTATTCCAGCCTTCACAAGTGCTTGCCAGATATCCTTCTTGTGCTGCAGCTTGATCACCTTTAGGGCCATCCATTTGGAGCCATACTTGACCAGGGCCTTCCATGCACAGGACTGACTGTTGTTATACATCCAGTTCTTGATGGCCTGTAAAATATACTTAACACAACTGCAAGCACATCAAAACTGTCAAGCTTACTGTCCATTTTCTATTCCATTCATTTTGTTTGAGGCTCTTGTTGGCATCCAGCCATTTGATTTTGTTCCACATGCCCTCCATCAGTGAGGCCCTTTTTTTGTGTCAGCTTCCTTCCAATCATTTAGACCATCTTGGAGGATTTGAAGTTTGTCCAGTCTCAGCTTTCCCAGTGCAGATTTTGTTGTCTCCATGTTATCTGAGCTAGATTCCTCATTGGAGGAAAAGTCCTCCTCATCTGAGGTATTAACACAATTAGTACTGTGATCACTGCTGGCCATTCTGAATGTTGGAGAAGGTGTTGGGGTTAGTTAGTTGCAGGTAATGTTACCCTCTGTTGAAAGAAAATTTGGAGTCCATTCCTCATAGTTTCTGTCACCCATTCTTGAATAAAGTTCCAGGGGCTGAGTAATGTTCCAGTCATGATACATACCCATTGTTAGTATGGTCTTGTTCCAGTCGATTGGTACCATGGCCAAACATGGTAAGCCAATTCGTCTATCATCCAGTCTGCTACTATATATAGATAAAGTATAGTTTGATCCTGATTGGATCTTCTGACATTGATTCCAAGATCCAACTCAAATCATAGTCATGCCAGGCATCACAATGAGGCATGTATGGCTGAGGCCTGCAGACATCCTGCAAGGACTTGATACTAGACATGGGCAAGTCACAAATCACCTGAGCTGCAGGGGCCACCCCAGTAATGCATGTCACTTGGAAAAAGGTGAAAACAACCAGGGGATCCAAAGAAAAGATGGTCAAGTTTACTCTGAGAAAGAAGGCAAGATATGCAACCAGCCAAAGCAACAAATCACCTACTAGGGCAGGATCTTTGAGCATCCAGGAACCCAATTTAGTCCAGGGTAATGATGCTGACCTATATGGCTACATGGATGATGCATCACCACCAAGGACATCAAGAATGCCAAAAAGCCAGGTGTGCATTATCAAACATCCTGGTGTTGGCAATGTGTGCCTTACAGTATTACAGAACAGTTATCTGGAAGAGTGGCTGCCCTATAAGAGTAGATACCTGTCTGTGCTCCTGGACATGGAGGCCCCACCTGATGTCATGGCTTGTTTTGTGTGTAAAGCAGAAGGGGCACCATATAGATGCATGGACTGTGCTCATCGCCCATTGTCTTGTAAAACATGTTGCATCAAGCAACACAAACTCAGACCATTGTGAGTCAAAGTGTGGTTCAGTGGTGAAAACCAACCAAAACCAACACAAAAGACAAAAAGAGCAAGTGGTGGTGTGCCTATGTGGTACCTAGATGGTAGAACCTGTTCTTTGGGAGGGTTTTTGTGAGCTACAACACTCAAAGATGAGTGCTGAGGGTTGGGGGTGCTCCTGATGAAGAAGAAGCAGGAATGCGAGAGAATGCAATAGGGTAGACTGCTGTCAGCCTACAGAAGGATGGATGACAACTTAATTCAATGTCCTAAGCTGCACTGAGCTCAGGGAGGGCTTGGAGCGAAGTATATTGATGATAGACAAGGATAAGCAAAGTAGACGATAGTTAGACCCTTAATAAAGTCTCAACTATCAAAGCTGCTGAATGAATTACTGAGTGATGATAAAATGCGAGCAAGAGGGGCTCTCTAATGTCTTCTTTTTTTTGCTATCTAAGTACAGTGATTTATATACAGTACAGGGGTGATTGGTAACTGATGAGTAAGGAATGTAAGCAATGGGTAATTGTCTTGGAAAGCATTGGTAAGCATTGGTAAGGATTAGCAAGCCAAAAAGTGAAGAATCAGTAAGCAAAGTCAAAAGATTGGTAAGTATTGGCAATAGGTGAGTCAAAGACAGTCAGAACATCAAAGTATGAGTCAATTGATGTCAGGAACTGGGAAAGTGCACTGGAATCACATTAGGGGGAGGCTGTGCATGTCACATCTTGAAGAGATCACTTCTAGGCCAAAGTGGGATGACAGAGAGGCAGTGCTGATCTGATGCCAATATAGTACATCCAAAAGTGGACAGGGTGAGTCAGATGTCAACAGGGGTCAAGCTTTGGGGGTCTGTGGGGTGACAGGAGCATAGGGGATCACAACTTTCCACCCCAAACCATCCTCTCAGTGAAGCAAATAAAAACTTCATGAATGAGGCTCTGTTGGAAGAGAGGATGAAGGGAGAGTGTCTTCTGCTGTATCTTGCAACAAGGAGGCAAGATGTGCATCATACTCATCATGGATGCAATCAGGGAGAGTGGAGAACAGTAGATTATACTGTAGCTGTCATAATCTTGGAAGAATGATGGATGAGACTGGTATGAAGACACTGCAGGGAGCAGGGAGGAAGGATCCATATGCTTCTTGGACTGGAGACTGAAATGACCACATAAGACCTTTCCAAGCAAATGACAGACCTGAGGTGACCAAAGAATGTCCTCCTAGAGGTCATACTGACAAAAAGAACATGCTGTCCAAGCTGGATGGGCCGAGAGGGCACAGACAAGGGTGGGATGTACCAGGATGCTTCAGGACAGAAGCTGGTAGGAAGTCCTGGTAGATATATGTAGCCATGGTCCCTAGCAAAGGGGACAAGTGAAATGATTGATGTGGAGGCAGCCGTATCAGAAGAATTTAGTGAAATGAGTGTCTTTTGGAGGGAGTGCTGTGGAAACATGTGGAGTGTGCAAATCCTTTCCAATTTTGGAAGGTAAGATTGCATGGCTGAGCACTACAAGCAAGTGTGGGAATGGTCTCAGTATCTGCAGAAATGGCAGAGATATGTCAAAAACCAGAATGTCATACATGGGTGCTTAAGAATTTTAGCCAGTGCTTAACTTGCTCCCTTTCTTTTTCTCTGGCACTGATGACTTGTTCTTCTGCAAGGATGACTGCCAACATTTCTGGCTGTCCTTCTTCACATGAGGGCTATGGTCTTCATCTCCATTCATCAGCTGTATCCATGTCCACCTCACCAAACACCTTTGGTGTGTGACACTGGTGATACCATTGCATTGTGGTACCTTCCTGGTGCCATCACCAATGATTTGCAAGTCAGTTAAAACATTTTCTTTACACTCTATATTATTCAGGCATCCCTGCAGACACACATGCTTGCCACTCTGGACCCCCTTCACCATGCAATGTCCAAGAGTATGACAAGTGGCTCCTGGCAGAAGAATGCTGAATATTTCAATCACACTTCATGGTCACCGGGGTGCCTGGAGTTTTCCCCAGCCAGGCACCAACAGGGGCATATGGTATGGCTATATTACCTTAGGGGGTATGTCTCTCAAGTGGCATCCAGACCATGAACTTCTCCCCATCAGTTTCTGCTGACCTACAGATGGATGCCAGTCATGAATGGTCCCAGCAGTCTTACCTCCCAGCTGCCATCCTCTCCAGTGTGCTTTCAATTATGCACCCAGGCCTGTATGATGCTGGAAGGCAAGCCATGCAGTTGTTGGGCACATGGTTGAGTTGGCATAATCAAGATGTGCATGATGCCTTGCAGCACTGGCTGTCAGTTTTTACTAATGTCTCCATAATCTCTAACCAGACTACACCCTTTCACTGGGACCCACACTCACAGTCCAATTGGTATGACATGCTGGTCATGGTTGGCAATTATGAAGATTGTGTATTGGATATCCCCATGCTTGGCCTTCAGTTCCTTTACAACCCCAGCACTGTAGTTGCATTTTCTGGCAGGCTTCTTTGACATGGGGTTAGTTCTGTGGGTGGGAACCAATGTTGCTTTGCCTACTACATGAGGGACAACATACACAATTGGATAGGGATACCCTGTGGGGATTGGATGAGAGTTCAGAATGTCCAGACTTGGTTGATGCCTGCAGGTCCAGTGGGACATTCCATATAACCTACACTTATCCAATAGGAGGTCCATGTAAAGGTAGTTTTATAGATATTATATGCCATCCCAAGCCAAGTTATTTTCCATATACCTCCCCCAAATATCAACTATGGCTGGCCTGTAATTGGTGGAACACTTCAACTCAAGCCAAATCCAGTCAGATGGCACACTGGGAGATTGGCTTGCTTGTTGTGCATGAGACTGTGGCATATGTGCCAGACCACATGGATTGGTGATCATAATACATGGGCTGATTCAAGACAGACAGGACACCATATCATGGGCCTCCCATACACCATGAAACACTGGAGTATTCATCCAGCCTGTCCTATGGGATCATAATATCTGGACCCTCCCCAAGGATATGGTACAATGGACTATAAGCCCTCCATGGTACATGGGCACTCCTATTTGGGCTGAGGCTGATGTGCACAGCACACTGAAATATGCTCCTACCATTCCAAATGGAACACTGCAGGTCCAGCCAAGCCTTATTACATGGGCCACTGATATATAAGCCCCATAGACAATAGCTTCCCAGCCAAGCCAATATATATGGGACACTATTTGTATGGCTCATCCATTCACCATGGGATGCCAACAGACTAGCCCATCATCTACACTGGTAACATTAAGTGGCCTTCACTGGGCATCCATGCCAATCAACTACCATAGGCTGGGCTTCTGTCCTGGTCCCTTATCATAAGGCCAGTATGTGTCCTGGGTTATGGTCATCAACTGGGAATTTGACCTGGCTGACTGGACTTTGCCAGAACATATACCAGCACAATAGAATCCCACTGGAGTGCCTTCTAAACCACTGTAAATAGCCCAGAGGGTGTCATCCATCCTGGCCAACTGGAGTTGGTTCAGAATTGATGCCAAACAACTGCCACCAGCACTGGACCTGTGCTGGCCCACTATATTATGGCCAGTAGGTGTCCTGGGTCATGGTCATCAACTGGGAATTTAACCCAGCTGACTGGATTTGGCCAGAACATATACCAGCCCAATACCATCCCACTGGAATGCCTTCTGAACCACTGTAAATAGCCTGGAGTTTGTGATCCATCCTAGCCAACTGGAGTTAGTTAGGAATTGATGCCAACCAACTGTCACTGGCCTTGGCCCCCTGCTGGTCCCCTAGATTCAGCCCAGTAGATATCCCAGCTCACTGGCAATAACATGGGATCTGACCCAGCTAAATGGAAATGTCAGGAAGTCATACTGGCCCAATAGAATCCCACTAGTGTGCTTTCCAAACCACTGGAAATATCCTGGAGGCTGTGATCCATCCAGCCCACCTGGAATTAGATGAGCATCCATGCCCACAAACCACCACCAGCTTATCCTCTATTCTGGCATATTTGCACTATACTGGTATGGGTCCCAGCTTATGAATACCAGCATGAAAGCTGGCTAGCCATATATTCCAACTACCTGCCACAATCCAGGCACCCATCACAGCCCACCTGCATAAGGCTGGTATGTGTCCCAGCATACTAGAAGTGGCTGTAACTCATACCAGCCCAATGGATGTACATTGGTATGCCTTCTGACCCACTGGAAATAGTGTGGTGGCTGTCATCCATACCAGTCAACTGGAATTAGCTCAGCAGCCATGCCAACTGACCATCACCACCTTAGCATCTGTGCCAGCCCACTAGCATAAGACCAGTATGTTTGCTGGCTTATTGGCATTATCCCAGCATTTGTCCCAGCTTACTGGAATTAGCCCAGCATTCATACCAACCCAATAGAATTACAGTGGAATGCCTTCTGACCCACTGGCAATCGCTGACACATGCTGGGCTCATGCCAGTGAGCCCAGACCAGGTTAGTACCAGATCTTTCCCAACTTGCCAGAATCCATGTCAGGATTATGATTATCCAGGCAAGATGCATATAGTAGTAACCCCTCAGCCACACTGTGCAGTATGGTGACATCTAATGATCATGGATATGCTGTGTGACATGATGACAACTTAGAGGTGGGCTTGACTTTAGCTGGTCTGTGCAACACAGCCAATTGTCAACCTCATTTGGTCATATGATACAGTACAAAGTAGGTACATTATGTGGGATGGGCTGAGAGGGGGCAGACAAGGGTGGGATGTACCAGGATGCTTCAGGATGGAAGCTGGTAGGAACTCCTGGTAGATATATGTAGCCATGGTCCCTAGCAAAGGGGACAAGCAAAATGATTGATGTGGAGGTGGCCATATCAGAAGAATTAGTGAAATGAGCATCTTTTGGAGGGAGTGCTGTAGAAATGTGTGGAGTGTGCAAATCCTTTCCAATCTTGGAAGACAGGATTGTGTGGCTGAGCACTGCAAGCAAGTATAGGAATGGTCTCAGTATCTGCAGAAACAGTGGAGAAAGGTCAAAAACTGGAATGCTGTACATGAGCACTTAAGAATTTTAACCAGCACTTAACTTGCTCCCTTTCTTTTTCTTTGGCACTGATGACTCATTCTTGTGCAAGGGATGACTGCTGACATTTCTGGCTGTCCTTCTTCACATGAGGGCTATGGTCTTCATCTCCATTCATCAGTTGTATCCATGTCCACCTCACCAAACACCTTTGGTGTGTGACACCAGATGCTCAAATGGCACACAACTCACATGTACACTCATCTCACAACCAGATGCCATACTCACTCATGTACAGTTTTGACCCTGCCCCCTATTCAACCAGACAACCCCCAGTTGAGTCCCTCATGGGAGACTGACTCAAGCAGCTGGCTGCCAATAGGAACACAGTGATTATCACTCACAAGGAAGCACAAGAGTTGATGAAGTTATGATTGAAAGGAAGCTATACAGAGTTCTCCATAGGAGATAAGGTTTGGCTGGATGCTTCCAACCTAAAAAGGGATGTTCTGTTGAGGAAACTTGTGCCCCAATGTCATGGACCATTTGTAATTTCTGAACAGATCAGCCTGGTCACATATAGGTTACAGCTCTCTGCTACCTGGAAAATACACCCCATGTTCCATGCATCCAATCTTACCCCTTTTGTCAAAACAAAGGAATATGGCCTGGCACAACTGCCTCCACCAGAATTGGTAGGAGACAAGAATGAATGGGAAGTTGAGGCTATACTTAAGCACAAACATGCATGCAAGGTCAAGTCATCATCTGGACAACCCAGGTTAAACCCTCAGCAAAAATACCTCTACCTAGTCAAGTGGCTCAGCTACCTGCACTCCCAGAACAGATGGGAGAGTGAGGAAAACCTGATAAATGTCCCAGAGGTTCTTGGGGAGTGCATGTTCATGACCTCTAGACCATGATGTCCTACACCCCCAACACTGAGAACCCTGGCTCTGACTACTTCAATAATGACTTCCATGCTGACATCAATGAACCATATGACCCTTCCCATCCCTACTTCAATCACTATGCCAGTACCCCTCCATGCCTCTTGGAACCACCAGTACACTCCCCCAGAGCACTATGCACTGCATCCCCCACAGTATCCTCCCACTCCTCATATGGCAGTTCCTACCAACCCCTTCATGACTCTGTCACCTCCACCTTGTGCCCATACCTGTACCCAGTCATCCACTTGGTCCCCTCTTCCCAAAGAGCTCACAAGGATGCCTGCAAGGGAAAGTCCAGAGCATGGCAGAGACCATCTGAGCCTTGTTATGACTCCTCTTTCTGATCCTGTAATACCCCGCCTCTCTCCCAGGCTGCCTACAGATCACCAACCCCAGCCTCTTGCCCTGGCTCATCTGCTCCAGAGCCTTGTGTTGCACTGGCCACACTCACAGCCCCTGCAGTCACCCCCTTGGCTCCTGCCACCACCACAAGCAGGTTGGCTCCCAAGGCAAGCCTCTTCCTTGGTTACATATGACTGCTTAATGACTTTGAGCACTGGGAATCACACAGCTGGAGAGCAGGGGAACACCATGAGCATCTACAGATGCTGTCTATGATCTTCAGAAGCACAGAAGTAATCAGAAAGTGTGTCTATGACCTCACCAGGGTCACAGACAGAAGCTTTAAGGTCCATACATATGAGGATACTGACCATGCAAACTTTTCCATACTCCAAGAAGCCCTGAAAACACAGGAGGCTGTTGTCAAGATTGTTCACAAAGACTATGGCCCCTCTCTCATCTCCTCCTTCCACTCCTTTCTTGACTGACTCCCCCTTGAAGTCATGGTCCATGGGCTCTTCTCTCCATTGTGTCAAGCAGTGACTAGAGGATCAGGCCTACCTGTGAACCCTGACTGAAAGGAAGCATGGCCACTCCAGGGCCAGGAAGCCAGCATCAGAGGAATATCACAACCTGGAGGAGGAAGAGTATCAATGGCTGAAAGAGATGGCAAACAGAGGTGTCACAATTGCTGGGAGAAGATTATACTGGGCCAAGGCCAAGAGCACTTCCAGGCCATCACAGATGCACTTGCAGATGTCCCCTTCAATGGATTGCCCCATGACTGGCTCAACTTTTTCACTCAGGCCCAAGGAGATTCAGCAGGATGGGCCATCTATGCTACTAAGACAACCCAACCTCTACCAGATGGTCCCTTCATTCCAGTCCCTGTCAACTCCCTCAGCAAACATGAACTTGGTGGGCTTGTTCCCCTCAATTGGCAGCATCCCCTCCATCAGTTTGCCTGCTACTGATGCTCATGCATTGGACATTGGTCAACTGAGTGCCCAACTCAAGGTGGCAACTAACAGCAAGATCTGCTCCTGGGTCACAGCTGGCCTCTACCTGCCTTCAGAGGACCTCAGGCCTTCGGGGGGGGTGATGTTATGTGCTGCTCACATTTCTTTCCATTTATAGACAATCCCCTTTCTTCCCTCATCATGCTTTCAAGTGATGATGTTCTGTTGCCTGCAAGCCACCTCTGGACCTGCATTCTCCTTGGATGTTTCCTTTTATGGTATCCCCTGTTCATGCCATGTTGTACTATAGCTTGACTATGTCTGTTTGCCCTTCCTTCTGTGATCTGCTGGTGGCCCTGATCCATGCAGTCACATGACACAACTAACCTGTCTACCCCAGGTTGCCTGTTTGCCTGCATATGTCATATATGCAGTTACCCTTCCTTCAGACTTGTTCACCCCTGCATTTAACCCCATCTGCAGACATGGTTACCCTTACACCCTCATAAGGCTGACTTGATGATGCCATATGTAGATGCAGGTGAACATTTAAATGTTTTCAAATGTTTGTTCCACAGGTACTCCACATATGTATATAAACCTGCATGTATTGTTCCAGCTCTTCATTCAAAATCTACTTTGCAACCACCCTTAGCTCCATTCATTGTACTCACAAAGACTCAATGGTATGACTTCAGTTGGCCAAGACTGGTGCTCCATTCACTAGTGAAGTTAAATTATGCATCACTTCTCACACAGTCATGTGCTTGTATTTCAATACTTGATTCATGATGCAATATGAGTTGTCAGCATAACAGGCCCCCCCATATGTTGTGACAATATAAATAATACTACTGAAGGGCCCAACCTTGTGTTGTGACTCTATTAAATGATATTAGTGACGGGCCCATCTTTATGTTTCAACAGCAGTACATCTTACTATTGACAGGCCCATCCATATGTTGCCAACTTTGTATTCTAATCATAGACAGGCCCATCCTTATGTTGTGACCCTCTCCATGTTATGATAGGCAGGCCCACCTTGATGCTGCAACAGGGGTGTAACCTACCAGGACAGGCCCATCCATGTCTTACAGCAGCTCAGTATTCTCAATTGGTCATGGGCCCATCTAAATGTTTCAACATCCTTACCCACCATGGGCCCATACATATGTTACTCTCACTTTAGTCCCTCAGGCCTGTCCATGTGTACTGGCTAATCTATTTAGGCAGGCCCATCTCAGGGTCTATATAAATGTTGGTGTTTTGGTGCACAGGCTGCCCAGGTGTTGTGACTAAGTGTGACTACACTATGTGGACACTGAGACTGGGTGGTGGATTGGACATGGATGAGAGCCCAAAATTAGTTATGAGAGCATGACCCACTTCAGAAATCAGTACATTCTCCTGGTGAATATTGCATTGGTCATTCAAAAGATATACTCAGATGACTCAGATAACCAAGACTTACCCCCTTCACATCTCCATGGATTATTACTGAATGGTGGCAGTGTAAGTAATTCAGCCCACAGGCAATGTCAAAGAGCTGTGCTGGTGGGTTATCATCATGCATGGTTGATATTAACATTGGCATACTAATGGTCAGGGATCCACAGCCACATCTCACACATATTGATGTGCATTACCTTGTTCCATCCACTCTGTCACCATTGATACTGTGTGGCCTGTAGAATATATA